TACTTTCTATACTGATGGATCTTATAAAAAAGGGACAAAAGATAATAAGCTTGAAATATATTTGACCTGGGTTCTAGTAGAAGACAACAAAGTTGTGAAGCAATTCTCAGTAGGGATATCAATATAGCTATTGGCAAGCAGAGCAGAAATATTGATCATTTTAGCTGCAATATATATAGCTTCCTGAAATACAATAGTTTCTATATTCTCTGATTATAATATTGTAATTAAGACATGGAAGTCCATCAGTTTACAAGTGGAGATATCAACAAGAAGATGGACAAAGATTGCTAATTGACTATTATGGAATAAAATCAAAAACCTAGTTAAAAAAAAAGATCTCACCTTGAAAATTATAAAGGTCAAAACCCATGGGATTGATAAGTTCAATAATCAAGTAGATTTACTTGCCAAATAAGTTAGATATAAAAATATAATAATTTGATATCAATTATCAAAGTTAGGGACAGTTTTACAATAGCCATATAGAGAAAGCATAAAATAGAGATCAGTATTAGGGAATTTGTCAAATTATTCAATAGGAAAAAGATAGGAAATTATTGGATAATACAAAAAAGGATTCAAGAACTATGGATCCAAAATGACAAAATCATAGACTAATTAATCTTCTGAAATCAGTACAACCCATTCAATACCTTTGATATCTCTTTTAAAAATAATAAAAACAAAAGCTTCTTGATTAACCTGATCCATAATAAACTTTCAATACTGCAGATATTGAAGAAAAGAAAATCAGATATTTATACTATAATGATTTGTCCAGTATACGAACTTTAAGAAAAAACATTAGAATAATTGTTCAAATGTTCAGCCACTAAAGAAATAAAAAAATATATATAGAAAAAAGCAAAGAAAAAAATCAACCATTATATCAATAAAGAAATCAAAAATAAAGAAGAAGTTTATCCTATAACTAATAACTGGACAAGTAAATAATTAAACAAGATTTAACAATTTGATAGAATCCTTTTTAATATTATTTGCGAATATATAGAAGGGAACAAAACCATTTCCTTGAAGAATTACCTCAAAACATAACTTAAAATTTCTCCTAATAGTCATATAAAGCATAATTAGTAAGCTTTGTTATAAAATGAGAAAAAATTTCAAGAAGAATATATGAAATAGTTACTGTAAAAAAGTAATAGAGTAGAAAAAGAAGTAGAATATTACTAAAAAGGACAAAAGAACCAAAAGACCTGGGCATAGATCTATTACACAGGTCATATAAGAATAGAAAGAAGAACTTACATTTGTAAAAGATCTGGAGCAAGAAGTTTTTGAAAAAAAAAGAGGGAATAAAGTTATAGAAATCATCAAGGATTGGATTTATTATAAAAGGAAATAGTTTGGTTTTTAATTGCAGTTGGAATTTAGAATAATCTATAGTAATAACCTGTAGGCAATGATTTTATGGACTAGAGGATTTATTTAAGTCAGTAAAGAAGCAAAATATTATTCTCTAAGTTGCATTTAAAGAAATAGTTTTTTGATAACAGGTGAGTTAGTATGTGAAAGTTAAACCAATTTGTAAATATTTGTCATATATACAATAAAAATATATTATATTAACCTAATTATGGGTTAAATAATAATAATAATAATAATAATAATAATAATAATAATTAATTATAGGCTATTTTATATATAATATATAGTATTTTAAAATTATAAAAAATATAAATAAAAATCAAATAATTAATATTTATTAATTATAGAATAAGTCCTGTGGATCAATAGTGTAATGGGTGCACTCCCAAGTCACTATTCACAAGTTACTGGTTCAATCCCACCTAGGAACAATTTTTCACAATATATAGGTTACATTGTACAAGATGCATGCTTATTACTATATGCACTCTTGTACTCACAAATAACCTATAGATTTCTACCATTTGATCATAATGTAAAACTCAGGTTATTCAAGCCTTGGCTGGTTTTAATGCTAAGGAAATTTTTAATAAACCTGTCACCTGAAATATGTATGGATCCAAGACAAATCAAGAAAAATGCCAACTAGTTCAAGACTCTTAATGAAAATAGGAAGGATATTCATCTCTTGTCAAAACTACACCCTATAGGAGATAAGGGAGACTTCAGTCATTGTACCTGTCAAAATGTAATGGGCCGTAACAACAATTAATAGGAGATCTCTATGATCGTAAAACCAATGGTTATCAAAGAGGACAATTATTGCGGAGACTGGTGTTTAGCGTTAACGCCACGTTGGGCAACCTGCAGGGACAGATCCTGGGAGAAGAAATTTGAAAACAATCATCAAGATAACCAATTCAATGGGAGGAGCAATCTATTATGAAATAATCAAAAGAAACCTCTGTAAGGTCAACTTGCAAGAGTAGTTAAAAATGAGGCAATGGAAGGCTATATGCCACCCAATTATGTGATACTATTGAATTACCTGGATATCAAGAACATAACTGAAGATTTGTGCCATTCAAGTTTCGACTAGCTTGCGAAGGACCCAAACACGTCAGAGATCATCCATGAAACTCACGATCATCAAGTGATAAACAAGACCTTACTAAGGAATACATAATATAGTCCCTTGAAGATTAACAATAAGAAGTCTATAGTGGTCTTTCAGAACATTATAGTTCCGGGCAGAGCAGGGCAACTGATGAAAATGGTATCACTAACATGGTAAAATTTGCAAACTTAGGTTAGAATAAGTAGTTAAAAATAAGGTTATATGAATTGCTTATGTAATTCAAAAATGTATTACTGATTTCTCAATAAAAGATTCGTCCTGTCAGTTGGACTAGTTTAAAAAAAAAAAAAAAAAATTAATGATAAAATTGAATTAAAATTATATATTAAATTTTTTTGTATTATATTATATTGTATACAAGAATTATAATATTTAATCATCTTTAAAAATCAATTATTGATTAGAATTAGATATCTTAATACTTTTACTTAAATTTTTAAAAAAGATTTTTATTTCTTTATTATTTCATGTATCTATGATATTATAAATAATTTTTATTTAATAGATTTTTTACTTAAACAAATATTAAATTATAATATTTCAAATTAATATAATCAAGTTTTAAAATCTATTGATATAATTTTGAAATAGATAAAAACTATAGTTTTAAAAGAAGAATCTTAGAATTTACTAATATGACTTGATTAAGTTAATGTTTAGGTAATTACAATAGTTTTTAAAAAAGAAGTTTTAATAAGTATTGAAAAAAAATTACTGTATATATTATTAAATTAGAAATTTATTATTATCATATAATCTTCAAGAATAATCTTTAAGTTTAGTTATTGATAAAAAGTCGGAGATTCTTTTTTCTATATTTTAAACTTGTAATTGCTTCCTAATGAATTTGAACTAGAAACCTTCATTTGGAAATCATGAAGCTTTATCACCTAAACCATAGATCGTTAAAATTTTTCTTTTTGATTTTTTTATTTCTAATTTTTTATCTTTTGTAATTTAATTTACAGTTGTAATTATAAATATTTGTGAATTGCTATTTTTTATTTTTATAATTCTAAAATTTGTAGAATTCGAAAGCACTAATAACTTTATGTGATCTCAAGTCTATATGATGCTTCTGATAGGAATTGGATAATCGATAAACTTCATGCTAAAAAAATACCACGAATGGAGTTATGAGAAAATAGTGACCTATCAATTGTACCAAATTTGCAATCATATTGGGATAAGGAAATGGGAAGTCATCAATAGCCTTAGTGATTAAAAAAAAAAGTTTGACTGGTGACACAGCACTATGGAAAATGGTAAGGCTAGAACATGACATAACAAGTGCCCAGATCAAACAACAAATGAATGTATACGTTAGTGAGTGATGTCTTTGAGAGGCTGGCGGAAGATACTGTATCTTGCTATAATTATAAAACCTTTGCTCTTTGTGAATCGTTTAAAATAGAGTCAAATTCAGTTCCATTTGATTCTTCAGATGCGATTAAATTTATGAGATCTGTTATGGTTACGGTATTAGATAGCAGGCAAATTTGATTTTCGGGGACCTTAGTAGATAATAATATTGATATTTAAGGTACAGTATATGGCAAAAAAAAAAAAAACATCTTGCGATAAGTTAACCAATAACAAATTGAATCAGTTATTGTTGTTTTTGTGTGCCCGAGGAAACATCATTCGTTAATAATTGAGTGCAGTATTTGGAGATGAAACTACAATGCGTGTTCGCAGAGATAGTTGGTCTAAAGAATCTGAAAAGGCAGTTGAACCTTAAATACTGGCATTAGCCATCTAAACATTCTTATGGGGGAACAAGTAAACATTCTTTATTATTGCATTATTTCTTGAAATGAGCAATGTTTGAATCAATTAAACAAATGGGTGAATAGGGTAAGATGACACGCGTTTATTAATCATCTTCTGGTGATGCGGAAACCAATCGTTCATTGCATGAAAAAATAAGCGAGATCTTCGATCAATTGCGCCTGTGTAAATTTTATCACATGTGCAGCGTACGATCCATGCTTCAATAGGAATCACGTATTATTGCAATGTTTGTTTGTCATGCGGTGCATACAACACAGAATAATGGACATGTGCACGTAACAAATACTGCATTCCATACTGCGGTCTAAATAAGTGAAGTATTTTTTTCGGGTTGATCACACGTGGCGGCATTATAAGATGCCGTTCGAGAGAGAACTTTAAATCGCTCATTTTCGAGGAAGATCTACTGGTAGAATTCATAGTCTTTCGATCACGTCTCGTAAAGGTATCGGTCTCGCGTGCTAGCCATTTAATCACGTCTTTTATTGCCGTCATGCATAATCGCTATTGCGTAGCGCCTCCAATCCGCACGCACACAATCGTTGACTACAGTATCTAGCATTACCCTATTGTAACCCGCATTTGACCAATTATCAGAAAAATATTTACTACCGTTAACGTTTAACCATTGCCGTACATCCACCACATACAGTACTGTTAACCCAATAACTTCTTTTTATGACCCACGTTTTCTTTTGTTATTAATCGTTGTGGATGGTGTTAACGCTCGGTCATTTTTGTTTTTATTCTGGGCACCCTCACCTTCTGCAATCTTCGATTCACATGCTAGGTTTACCGATTCAAGCTCTTCCACGTTGTTCTGCCTATCTTCGAATGCCTTAAGATCGGCAGTAAATAAGACCTGTCCGTTTCGATATGTAACATACGTAAATAGCTGGTGGTTAACAGCGGATTGGTAGTTGACCCGCCTTTTCTATTAGGTAAAAAAAAAAAAAAAAAGCATAGGTTTACCGAGTGAGCCCATCCGCTGTAATCGCCAAATAATTTTCGAAAATGATCCCCAACGGCTTCGTATGAGCGACTCGTTAAGGTTTTCGTATTACGTGTTTCCCCCTTGCCACCAAATCCGTATTTTCGTTTAGCAATTTGCCAAACGTGTGTGTCCACCGGTATGGCGTTATGTTTATCCAGTGACATCAAACACTATGGTGGTCACAATGGTTAGTACCATCTCGATATTCTGGTTTCAACACGCCAGATGATGAATACCAAATTATAAATAAATCATGCAACTTAATGCGAATCTACCTACCACGCAATCCGCAACTTTAGGACCAACCTGACAATATCAGTATAATATATGATAAATAATAATAATAATAATAATAATAATAATAATAGTAATAGTAATAATAATTAATGATAAATAATGAAAATAAGTCTAATCGTCACACGAGGAAACTCGATTTTTCTTCGAGGGGCTTTCACTTACACCTGTGAGTTGTAGCAAGGCCGCACGAGCTTCCTTATAGTCCAACTTTCGCAATGAATGCAGCCACCGTTCCCCATCCGGGAATTCGTCCATCAAGAATTTTGCCGTCTGCGCGATGTACCTTGCGCGATAACCGAATCCAAGTTTTTGTAGTTCTCCCTCAACTTCTGGCGATGCGAGCTTATCAAGCGTTGGGAAGTCAAAGTATTCTTGTCCATTCAAGGTATACACCTTTTGACCGTATCGTCGACATAATTTTTCAATCTGAAGTGACACGCAGATTGTTAGCGTAAAGCTCGCTTGATCTTGGATCTAGACAAACACGTCTCGTTATAACAATCAATCGAGTCATTACCATCTGAGATATTCTCGCGATGTTGTTATTCGTCGAGCAGATGAAACAGATTACATTTTCTACCGGATCCTGCCTCAATATTCGGATACCTTGAAACTGCTTTGCTATTCTCGCGAAATGATTATCCACCAGGCTCCACTTTTCATATCGCTCTCGTAGGTTGACGCGCAATTGAAAGTAATCCGAGAGGAATTCGCGGATCTTCACGTGCTCTTGGTCGATCTCTCGTTGACGTTGTTTCTCGACGGAAATATTGTTGCCTTGAGCGGGGCGAGGGGAAGAAGGTGATGGTGATGAATCGGGGTGAAGGTATGTTCTATATTCTACGCTCGTCGCTAATTGATTTGATTACAGTTAGGGGTGGAAAGGGGGGGGGGAGGAAATTTAACCATAGAATAGATGATTCTTGATAGCCTAGATCTAAATTGAACCTCCCGCGACGTAAAATTACCTGTTTGCCTTAGAGTAATGAGTTTCCCCTTGAACGCGCAGGACCTTTTTTGATCAATCAAGATTATTCGACATCAATCAATCGAATTATTATTATTATATATTAACGTTTAATTCATTTAATTTTTTAATTTTTTTCCAAGCATAAATTCATTTTCATTATAAAGCGAAACGAACTGATAATAATAATGGCAATAATAATAATAATAATGATATTATTATTGATGATTAATAATATTTTTTACTATCATGTATATTTAAAAAACGTGAATACTCTTATTAGATAATTTACTATTATTATTATTATTATTATTGTTATTTAGCTACCATTCATTTTCTCCCGACAGTTTCCACCTAAAAGATTGTCCGCACTTTAAGGTGGTATCCAGCCTTAACTCTTCCGGTCCAACTTTTAGGCTACACCAGACGGACATTTTTTCTGCTCTTCGTTTCTTTTTCTTTCTTTCTTTCTTTCTTTTATTTTATTTATATTTGTTGTTTGTTTATTTCAACGTGTATGTCGATGACGATGAAACGCGTGGATTAAACCGAGAGGAGATGAACACGTTCCGAAAGGAATTCCAATTTATCGGGGCACGCATGTTCGGTCACGTGGTAACGCAATCGATTGCGCACACGCATCAGATATTTAAATTTAAATTTGAGATGCATAGCAGATAATACGATAAGCGATTTATTTTTAAAATAAACCGATTGGTCGGTTGGTGTAACAACTAAAATTTCTATTTATAGAAAAAGGTGAGGGAGGTCATCTAGTGAAAACCTGAACTATTAATAGAAACACTTTTGTTAGATCGTCTCGTGCTCTCCCATGGATTTTGATTAGGGAAGGAATGACAAGTTTAACTCTTTAAAAATAGAATTTCCTCTTTGAGGAGCTGATATTCGTACAGCCACCAGTTTATATCAACAAACAAATATATGTTCAGGATGTGTTACCGTAGTACACTGATAAACTAATATTGAGTCGTTGCGTATTAAATATATTTTACATTGATTCAACTTAATAACGTCGGACAATATTTTACAGTAAGATATTGATGTGTGAAATGTTTGATTTGCTTTTGAATCCGGCTCAACCATTTTTTGTATATATAGACGAGAAACGCGATCCCTGGACTCAAAATTCATTCCTGAATTTGCTTGCCGCAAGAAAAAAAAAAAAAAGAAAAAAAGAAAAAAAAGAGAAAAAAAAGCAAAGAAAAAAAATAATAATAATAATAATAAATAATAATAACTTTGATCAAACGAGCACAAACAGGTGTAAGAAATTGTATAAAGTCAAAGAAGATGTCATCCAACGACAATCGTCTCGAACTTCAGAAGCGTCTTCAACAAAGAATGAAGAATAAAACCGATACCACCAGTCGAACAATTCCCCGCACTCACGAACAATTACCGCATTTCTTGCAACAAGTTCTACCCGACAATTACACTTACATCATCAAATCCTACAAAGAACTGGAACTCGAGAATTTTCCGGGTGCCCCGACGGCTGCCTTCGATTCTACGTTCTACGTAAACATTTCGTCGGCAGAGGCTATCGAGGAATGGCGGACGGCATTTCACAACAAGACCGGCACCATCTTTCGAATCACTCGCGCCGACAAGGTGAAGGGAATAAAGGTCATCTATCACAAGGACTTTCATTGTAGGCATGCCGACATCGCTGCCATCAAGTACATGCAAAAGACTTATGCCCAAAAGGCTGGCCAGAGAAGAAGTCGAAACACGAATTGTCAGTGCTTGGCGAAAATTCGCCTCGAGAAGAGTAGGCTCATTCTCTCTCATCCTTGCGAGATACGTCTCATGTACAACCACAACCACCCACTAGAGACCTTTAACTTAACCCCTCCGACCCCCTCGATGGTGTCCTCGACAAGTGACGAAAGCGGAAAAAGCACACCGCAACACAATCTGGATTTTGATTCGAGTATGTACCATTGAAAATGTTATACTATTGCCAAAAAAAAATTTCTTTCAACTACTAACCAAAACAAAATTATATAAAAGGTGACACGGATTACTGCCAAGAGATCATCGGATTCATGGAAAACCCTCGAAGAACCACTTTTCTGAACCAGTTCCCCTGGATTGATCCATCCCCGTTAACTCACCTGAGCCACGAAGAAGTAAATTTCGGTCAGGTCGACACCTATAGTAACGGAACATTTATTGGATATTCCTCTCAGAACGATTCACAATTCCAACATCCATTTACTTCTCCGCCGACCACCTCCGTGCCCATTCATTTCTCCAATGAACAATTTCTAATACAACCGAACCACGCGGAAACCATTGATAACCATAACAATGATAGCAATTTATCACGACTCTCAAACGATATCAGGTCTACAATTAAACGGACCTTTGGTGACAATTTAGGGGTTCACTTTACCACAACATCCGTCTCGGATCAACAATACTTGCCACAACCGCCTCTCGGTATCATCGATCGACCATCACTAAAAAGGTCATCGACCGATCAACAAGAAATCATTCCGCAATTTTCCATACACAAAAGAAGGTCGATAAGCGCAAAAAGGCCGGAATCGGTGATCAGTTTGGCGCAACAGATTTAAACCACCAAAAATGATTTATAAGCTAAACGTGTAAATTTGTGTATAGTGCATAAGACATATATATTATTTTTTTTTTTACATAAGAAAAAAGTTTTTTTTCTTTTCCTCGATAAAGTGTTTCATATATTTCTCGGGATTCATAATCACAAATAACATCTTCATTGGTTCAATTATGACAAATGTAAATAATTTAAATACGTTATGATGATAGAATAAACAACTTTTTTTTTCCTCACTTTAGATTACATAACACATGACCAACTTTTTTTTTTTTAATTCATAAACTTTTCACTGAATTTCAGAAACAAAAACTTTTAATAGAGTACAAAAATGGGTAACATATATTAATCAAAAACATCAATGATCTGTTTTTCTAAAAATAAATCGACGTGAAATAATAATTCGCAATCGGAAATTTTCTTAAAATTATTCCTGTCAATGTCTTTTTTGTTCGGTATCCTGGTATTAGACTATTCGGTGTAACCATGAAGGCTGTTTCTTTTTTTCTTTTTTTCACTCACTCACTCACACGCGCATTTATTTAAGATGCGGTAAATATGCAAAATGGAAATCTGTGGGACGTGTTTAAAAAAAGCAATCTGGTACACCTCAATTGACTGGCATACACGGAAGTTTAGGAATTTGTATAGAACTTTACACAGGATCTTTTTCTATTTGGATGTGCAATCAAATTTCTCCATTAAACACAGAAGTCCAAAAGCACAATAGCATCCGAGAAATATTTTTAGCTTCCATTACGGCTATGTAGTAGACGGGCCGTCGTAATGACCAGAGACAACATTGAATCCTTACAAAAAAATGACGCAACTCGTTTGTATACAAGAAATGGTTTTGATGTACTATTTGGCACGAGTTTCGATTATTAATCATAGAAATACCACAAGGAAAATTTTTTAGCGGTGTACCTTATAATATTACCATATCTGTACAATAACATGAACTTTTTGAAATTACGTAAATATTAGCAGAAACAATATGTCGGACGAATCATTCTTTTCTTTTTTACGTCTGAATCGCAAAAAAAAAAATATATATATAAACTCACAACAATTTTTATATACGGTCTACAATAATACTGTCTGTATATGCGGGTTTAAGGCATGAATGGCTTTTTTCTTTTTTAAAATAATAATAATAATAATAATTACGGTATTGATTACTATTATTTCTAGTATGCTACAAATGAATTACAGTATACTGTATAAAAAATTCCCAAAAAAATGGACATTTTTTAATACAATATATAATATAATTTAAATACTGTATACAGTATTTAAAAATATAAAAAAATTATTATTGTTATATATAGTATATATAGCACAATATACGCATATTGTATAATTAGTTTTAATTATTTATAATATATTTTTTAAAAAAAAATGTTTTTTTAATTTATAATTATAACGTATATTTATTAAAATATTAAATAAAAAATCTATAATATTACATGAACTTACATATAAAAGCCAATTTATTTTTATATGGTATATATTAATTAAAGAATCATATTACTTAAAAAATATAAAAAGTTTACTAAATTTTATATTAAATAAAACAAATTTCAATTAGATACTTCAAGACAGATTTAAAAAACAATATTTTATTCTACTTATTTTTATTTATCAATATTACTAATAGTTTATTACTATAAATTATTCTAAAAAAATAATAAATTGTTAGATTATTGTATTAAAAAAGAAAAAAATAATTTAAATAATTTTTATTCAAGTAAATAATTTTATTTTAAAAGAGATTTGCTAATTGAAATATTTTTTAACTTTGAATTATCTAAGAAACTTGTTTATCTATTGATTGCTAAAGTTATAATATATATTAATTAAAAAATATATTATTTTAAGCTTTTAAATAAAAAATATTATTTTATATTTTAAAAAAAAAACTCTTTCCCGTAATTCCTTTTTTCTTAAAAAAATTTTTATAAGGAAATTTTCTCAAGGAAAAAAGTAAACAACCAAAGATAGCAGTTTTAAAGATCAAACATAATATAGTGAACTTCTTTATAGAGATAAGCTTTTTCTACAATACTATGTTCAAGTATTCTGAATTTGCAAAACAGTTGAATCAAGTAAAGAAGTTTTTTGTTAAATAGATAGGCAGGGTTTCTTTTGTCTACTTTAGTAACTCTAAACAATAAGTTTTCTCTTCTCTATTTGATCTAGGCTTATCTAAAAAGAAGAAAAAATGTCATCTGAAAAAAGGAAGACATTAAAGAGACAAAAAACATGATAAATTAAAGGATAAACAACCTTTACTTAAACAATTTCTGTCTCCCAAGGCATATAAATGCTTTAAGTATAATGAAAACTTTACCAGTCACATTTTATATAAGAAATATTTCAATAAATATCACAAATCAAATACTATAAAGTTAATAAATATGCCAAGTAAAGAAAAAAACATAAGGCAGCCCATCAAGAAACCAAAATCAGTACTGCTGGAATACTGACTTGAAAACCTTCCCAAAAAATATTCAAGATCGATTGCGATAAGCTCAACAAATAAACAGTGCTTGAATTAATAATGCAAGTAATGAATGAACTCAGCAAATATTAGATTCACTTATCTAAGAAAAAAGTTATTGGTATTCATAATTACATTTTTACTACTAGTAGTTTTAAACTAACCATTCAAGATTTCAAGACTTATTTAAAACCTATCTCCTTTATACTTGAGGGACTATTCAAAGATAAGTTTGATAAAACAATCAATGATCTTGATTTCTATTATAAATATAAATCCTTGTTGATAGATATACAATGTGAAAAAGTTGACTTTGCAATGAAACTTTTGGGAATGATTAGAAGATAAAACTCTATCTCTATTATTTCTATATTTAAATTGATAATAAAGTAAACATTATATTGGTGGGATGTCAAATAACATCAGAAATTTTGATAATCCTTCTAACAAAAAATCTTAATAGAAGAAGGAATTTACTGACCATACTAAAGTGTTTAAAATTTATTACAGGTTAAAGTATAATAATGATTTGATAACTAGATTACTCTTTAAAATTGTTCTAGGAAAAATTAAAAGCATCAAATATTTTTCTTACAATATAGTTTTACATTTATAGTTACATTATTTATATCTGCTCTTATATTTATTATATATTATAAGTATTTGTAAAATTCCATTTTTATAAGTATAATAAAGTAAATATAAAGATATTGAAATTTTCATTAATAGAATGGGAAATATTTATAAAAACAATAATATTCTTAGAGAACTGAACTATACAGAACTGTCAGGAGAAAATATAATAGAATCAATTCAAATTTTCAACAATATCTGTAAAGATGCCAGAGAAAATAAAAAGGAACAGTAGATATCTTTTCAAAATACTATAAAAACATATGATACAATTAGTTTAGATATATTGGTAAAAACAATGGAAAGAATTAAAGCTTCAAAAGATTTCACAAATATTATATTGAGCCTTTTTCAAAATAGTGAATTCTAGGTTATATTTGAAAATAATCTTATAGAATCAATAGTAGTTTAAGATGGAATTAATCAAGGAGAAACCATCTTACCTCTATTTCGAAAAACTTTCTATGATCCCTTTTTAAACAAAATTCAGAATGATATATAAAAAGAATACAAAATGTTAGTTATATGAAATCCTGACCTTAAAAAACAAACTACAAGAAGGTTAGAATCAAGACATGCAACTATAGTCTTTATAAATGACACAACATGGATAGCAAAATCAAAAAAGGATATAGAAAAGATTCTGAAAACTGCAAGAATATTTTATATAATTAATGACTCTTAAATAAATAACAACAAATCAATTTTAGTCACTATTAATAATTCTATCTGCTATTCAAAAAAGGTGAATGCAGGTACTAAAAAAGAAGTGGTTAAAGAGCTGATAGAACAAAATAGGTAAAATTTTTAAAAATTTGAATAGGTAATCAAAAAACTGTAATTGATCTTAAAAAACAAGTGCTTAAAGAAGTCAAGAGTCCTTAAACATAAAATAAACAAGTTCTATATATTCTAAATAGAGTATTAATATCTAGAATAGAATTTAAAATGCAATATAGCATATTGTTTTAAAAAATATGTAATACTTTAACAACTGTATATAGAAAACTTTTCAAGAATAAGTGTAGTTTATGCAGATCAATGCTCAATAACATAATCTATTATCCAAAGATCCATAACTTAAAAGTATTTGGATATTATAAAGAGAAAGCCAAGTAACAGGACTTTGCAACAGATTAAATAATTCTGGATCAACAAGAATCACAATGATCATTAGACTCAAACAAGTATAGATAAAAAATTGGGAACCACTTAATTTATTAATCTATAAATCCTTAAGTTATCTAATAAACAAAAGTAACTTATCACTTCAAGTGATCAAAATTGTTAAGGATATAGGAATAACATTTCATAGTTGAAAATGACAAGACATCTTTGAATAGAAAAAGAAAAACATTTGAATCGGAGAATATCTTATATCAGAAGAATATAAAAAAGTTATACCATCACTTAAAAATAATTAATTAATGTACCTGAACCAGCTAACCGATTAGGAAACTAAAAAAATAAGAGACTGGCAAACGTTTCAGCTCCTAAAAAATACAAGCAAAGGATACATACTAGAATAGTTTCAAATTATAATCAAAAATCTCACAGGAAAAACAATTAAAGCAACTTATAAGATTTGAGAAAGAAAATTATATGAAATGGGAACCAGTATACTCAAAAATAGATTCTAATTGAGATAAGCAAAAAAATTTGTGGATAGTGATAGGAAATAAAAAAAATCAAGTAATTTGGGGAAAATTAAAACAATAAAAAAAGAGAAATGTGGTAATAATAAAGTATTTTACTAGTCATAACTTCAACAATGATCAGAAAACCAATATATAAAAATACCTAGGATGTTTGGAAGGCACAATACTAAATGGTGACTATATAATTGAAAGAGAAATAGAAGAAAT